GTACACGTTAGTTCTATACCTGTATATCAGTTAAATCTAGAAGGTTTTTTTTGTAGTCTTGTAAAGAAAGTTTGATAACATCCATGAGCCTTTCACGTGTTACATTATATAAAAATCCTTTCAAAAACAGACGAACAGAGATATACTAATCTGTATTATATTATTCACGAAAATTCTATTCAGTATATTCAACTATTTAGTCGTCGTTTCACTAACAAAATATTTGCTTTAAAAAAGAAAAGTGATACGGAAATTCTGTTAAACCGAGAGAGAGAGAGAGAGAGAGGGGGGGGGGGGTACATTTCTAAGGTTCATATTCTTACACAGGAGTGTCAGAATCATAAGGTCTTGTTTTTTGCCACTTATTTTTTTCAATTTCGATCTCCAGACATGTTTTTATTAATTTTTACACCGATTCCGATTCTAAACAGAATTCATAATTCATTTCTTTTAAGTCAAACTGTAATTTCAGAATTTATCAAAGATAGGCAATCAATTTTAAAGAGACTGTGTGGTCGACGCCCGGTTTGTATATATATAGTTTGCGGTTTGGCAGTTAGACCAGCCACTGTCGGGGCAAATTACGTAAAAAGAAAGTTGTCCTTTATATTCATTTGAAATATGGCTTCTATATTTATTTCATTTCTTGATGCAGACCACGTTACCTCCTAGAAATGTGAATGACTCAAATTAGAAAGGACTGAACTTAAAAGTTTTCCATGTCAACTGTAAAGGCATATTTCATTCAATTTGTCAAACGGTGTTTACTTTAGGTCACAATATTGTAATGCGTTTATTGCACTAAAGACATTAGGTAAAGATAAAAGAAAAAGTTTACAGGAAACAGATTTAAAATCTTTCTTTGTTAAAACGCAAATCGACCCACCATGTTCTGTTTGAAAACAAATGCTATATTAAGAGTTGGTTTGGTTTATTTACTTGACTGTGATTGCTTACATCAAATTGCTTACTCCACCCTTAATTATAAAACATAAAGGCCAGATAAACTAAAACAAGCTGTTGTACTTTTTCACAGTTTTGCTAAATTTTCAAATCCAATCACCGAAAACTGAACAGAAATTAAAGAAGCTGCAATGAACGTCTTTGATTTTAGCCAAAATAAAGTTTTAAATTGAGTTAAAGTAGTCAAGTCTTTAACACAGTATCACCCACAGTCTTCGACATTGCAAACACCACTTATTGGTCAATTTGAATCAACACTGATGTTGTTATCTTAACGTGAAAATATGGGCCTATATTTAAGACACAGTGAAACGTTTAAACTTGGCACACGAATCGCGTGCCAGAATGCTTTCGGGTGCCATTTGTAATGAGCGACTCGGTGAACGGGACTAAACATATCCTACAGGGAAAGACTACCGGGGTAGACTTGAATTGCCAGACGCCAAAGACTGCCATTCAATATGCACTCTTCACGTATTTCACCCAACATAACTGATTAGAAATTAGAGTAAAAACAAAAACAATTGAATGTAAATCCGTTTATATACATTCATTTCACATTATTATATGCGTTGCGATCCATTTGTCTCTATTATCAGGTGACAAAGAATAGCGATTTAGCCCCTTTAATCTTAACGATTGCAGAAGATCAATAGACTACGAATATAGACATATGGAAACTTTGCTAAACAAATCAAAACACCAAACGTTAATCAATATTTATTGTTGGAACAGAAAATGGTCCCCAACTGGATCTCATCCTGTTCTTGGGCACAACACTCTTCTGAAAAAGCCCAAGCTCCGCCAATTCATGTACGGTCGACATGGAACTTGGCTTGTTCCTTGGACAATTGCCAATCGAAGGACTTCAATATGAACGTCACAATTTCAAGATGACTGCCATGACGTCACATTCCGTTCCTGGTCTCTTGTGCGGTGGTACTTGTTTTGGGTTGGGGTTTGTTTTTGTTTTTTTACCAAAATCAAAGAGGTCTAGCCATTTTAAGATTTTTTTAGAAACCAAGCTCATGAGTTGCTTAAAGGATACATACACAAAAGTTTACATCCTATCGAACCATTTCTTTAATATGCCTATTGCTTTTTTTTCCAGGGGTGAAGTACAACAGATATTTGAGAAATATACTAAAAACCATGGTCGTCGTTTAAAAAGAGATGTCGCCGTTAATATGTTACAAACAGAATTTAGTTTAAGCGAAGGTGATGCTGAAGTTTTGTTTGAAATCTTTGATAAAGATAAAAACAATGAACTTAGTTTATGGGAATTTCAACAGTTTTATACATGTATAGGTTTAGAGTAAGTATTTATACAACAGTATAGCGAAAAGTTTCAACCTATGTAAACTCCTAATCAAATGTTCTTAATATTTAATATAAATACATTTTAAAGACATGACAACCTGTTGTTAACAGATTTTCATTTGAGGACGAACTCTATCAATAATTAGCGTTCCTCGACTTTTTGTTCCAGAGTTATGCCGAAAACTTTGTCCACGGGACCGTTTAAAATATGGTTTGAAGCATTGGGTTGATAAAGGGACAACACTATCGATATTCAGCATTGTGCAACCATCGGTGCCGGAGTTACACCCCTTCACCCCAAAAAACCCACAACATTCTGATCGCGATAGAGTTTAACAGATTTATTTCAAATTAGGTGAGAAGCATTGGGGTCATGATAAAACGAACCTTAACGCGAGCCTCCGAAAACGTGGTGAACGCAATAGTGGCTACTGTTTTTAACGGATTCCTTTAGCATGGTGCAAAGTTAGTTTTAAATGTGTTTTGTTTCGCAGAATATTGTATTAATCTTGTATTATTTTTCAGGGCTAAAGAAACGCTGAATTTATTCCACAAGTTAGAGAAAGATGAAAGTGGTATGGTGGATATTGAGAAATGTTTTGATAGTATGAAAGGGATGAAAACAGCAGCCGGGAAAGGTCTAGAAGAGAAAGATATTGTGATGTTATTGAAAGCTACAGCTGGTCCTGATAAAACTATCGATTTACCCAAATTTATTAGTCTTGTTACCAGAGTTAAATTTTTTAAAGGTTAAATATCGTTGTTTTAAGCATGGGGGCGTAATCTCGGATGGATGTGGAGGATTTAAAAGGGGGGGGGGGGGTGTTCAATAAATAAAACACACGTTGTTATATTTTACATGGTTTTGCTATCAAATCACTACGTGATCCACTGAGATTGCGCCTTGAATAGATTAGAGTCATTGTTTCAGCTGGGAACATATACCCGTGTAAGAACCGTTAGGTGCGTCTTTGTTGGACAGGTTCATAAATGGCCAATACCTTAACAGATTACCGTTATCTTATAACTCTAAAATAAAAAAATAAACCAATAACTACAACAAAACACGAAACGTCCATATCATTACAAATGGTTCCTTATCTTCTAAAAAGCGTAAGACTATCCTGACACCCGTTCCCAGCTGAAATAAACATTGTTATTATAAATCGTTGATAATTTTTAATATTCCAAACACATGACCAAGATAAATGTTATTATATATTTTACGCTCCATTATATTAAATTCAGGGGGTTGTGAAATTATAGATATAATTATTAATATACCATTTTCACCTAGTCATGTATTTATACGATCTTAACTATTATTGTTTTCTGAATTGCTGTTATGCTTCACAAAACTTGCCATCACATAACCATCACCGCTTAATGTGTAGGTCAGATTTCGGAGCAATGTCCAAGAGCCATCTTAGAGGAGAGAATGGATTTTTTTTTTTAAAGAATTTCAAATACATTTAGTCTAATAAAGCTCGCAATAATATATATTCATAGTGCAGTCAAAATTTTGCCCTTATAATTTGCTCGAAGTTACCCATAACAATAACGAAGAGCTCCATTTAGAGAGCTACAGGGAGCTCGAAACAAATGCAGTTATTAATATTTTCCTGTTAAATGTTCGTTTTGGGCTTTTTTTCTATTTTGTTCTATATTATTGTTCTTATGTTTATATAATTTGAATTACATAGAGCTAAAATTATACATTTAGATGTATTATAGAATCCAATAAGTATATTTTACCGTTTACTTAGAAGATTAGTTTTACATGTACATTTATATGTATATTGTAAATTTTATGTTATTTACCAGATTTAACACATCGTAAAACTTCATTTAATAAAAACTGCATGTCAGAGAATATGTCGAGTGTTTTTTCTTTCTTTTGGTCAAGTAGCTTCATGAAATACTATGAGGTTTACAGCTCAGGTAGAAAATGACAGAAAAAAACATGATTTAGTCCACTCTATACAAACTAAGACCAACATAAGGTATATTTTATTTCAATAATTGCTTTGCATGCAGATTTTTAGATTCCTTCAGGATTCTTTCACTGACTTTCAAAGCTATAAGCAAAACCTTCACATCTTACACCTCCCTACCATATCAATATGAACAGATGGATATTATCTGAACCCAAAACTGTTTAGGTGAAGACTTTTAGCCCAATTTCATGGAATTCCACTGCAAGGAGTATGATGGAATTCACTTGCAGAAATCATTAACGTATCCCTTGTTGAAATTTGGTGTAAAAACATGGTTATTTGGATGCTACGTCTGAGAAGAATATGCACTTTAAGCATACATGTGTGAAGAATGAGCCAAACAAGTATGGTCATTATTATTATGTATTATTAGTACATTAAGCCTGGGATCAACATGAGGAACCTAAAGGTGGATATATTAAGTGACAAATAAATTGATGAAGACAACAACATAATGATAAACTGGTAAAAAAAATAAATTCTAAGATGCTCCCCCTCCCCAAAAATGGGGGAGGGGTGCACCACCCATGCCTGATTAAATGTAATAACAAAAAGAACTTAAGTATTACCATACCGGTATTATTATTTTGGAACATTTTTTATTACCGAGTCCTGCTCTATAAAAGTATAAATTAACATTTGCAGTTTTTTTTAACTGAATCAATTATTAATTAGAATTCATTTAATATTTAATTTTTAAACTATTAACTCATGGCAGTATATATTAAATGTTCATTTATTTGGAGAACATTTAAAAGATGAACCTGAACATACAGAAGAACATGGAGAATAAACAAAGTAAAACAAGAAATTAATGCATGGTGAAATTATTTTGACCTCCTAAAGGGAGTAAACATTAATACAGGGCCTGAATTGGGTGGTTTCCTGAATAAAGAAGACACTAGTTTAAATATCAGATAATTAAATGATTGTTATCTACTGGTTCTTTGAAATGCATCTCAATGTTTACATGGGTGGATCTCCTGTTTTTGTCCAATCCCATCCACTATGCACAGTTTCCTTGTCAGCCCCACAGGCAACAGTCATGAAAAGTGAAGGTCATTCTTGAAAAGTTTCATCTTGGCTCTAGTCAGTATTCGAAACAATGCACCCACAGATAAAACTATTTCATTTTTATTATTTTTTAAATATGACTGGTTGTATGGTACATTCTATATACCTACATCCTGCACATCAGCCATCTTTATTAGCCAAGTCTGAGCAGAACAGTAGGATCTTAAACCCCATTTCATTTCATTAACATCAGAGAAAGGTTTTCACACACATATAGGGCCAAAAAACAAAACACTGAAACACGACTCAATAAGTTTTACAAATACAATTAGTTTTTTCTTTATAATTTACGTTAAGCCTGCTTATATAATTAGAACTATCAATAAAAGAACAGTTGCTGATCAATCAATCCTGCAGTACATGAGGCATGTAGAATGTGCTTGTTCTGTACCTCAAATTTAACACATTCATTTCTAGCTTGCATTAATTTCTTGCCTTACAGATTATGGAAATACAGTTATCAATTTCTATGTAATCATGATTTGAAACATCAGTTAGTATAAGACAATGGCTGACAATCTTAATACAGTTTTTATTATGAAAATAATAGCTGCAAAACTATTGGTCAATACCAAAACTAATGGTCGATAACATTACAAAATGAATGCACATTTCACAGAGAGACAATATGTATAATAAATAAAGTGTGATAAAAAAAAGAGTAGCACTATGAACCTATGTCATCTAAATGAAGGAAATGTTTCTGTAGGGTTAATACCTAGATGAGAATTAGTTATAAAATCTGTTACAGGTGTATTATATAAAGCTTGATATACATCTTCAACACATATAGTACCATCATTTCTGGAGAAAAAAAAACAAAGACAAAGTGTTACTTATACTTCTGTATACAATGATCTATTAAAAGAAACATACTTTTATAAGAGTTTAATCAATGATAAAAAAAACATTAATTGTTCAGTCTCATGTAAATAAATTTGAAAACATGATGAAAACAGTACACAATAAATACCATCTAATACTACTGAATGGAATGATTAGTTAACCCTTAATTTACATCTGCTTCTATGAACAGTGATTGAGTCAGAAAGTCAACTGTGTCAAAATGAGTTAATTTAAAACTCTAATATGGTACTATCATCAGAGAGATAGAGAGAGAGAGGGGGGGATTTAAAGTCCACTTGACACAAACTAGGTCATTTCAGAACTAACACATGGTTCAATTTTATTTCAACAATTCGCTTGCACGTAGGGGTCTTTAGCAGTGGGAGGAAACTGGAGGACCTGGAGAAAATCCACGAGGTTCGACAGGCGACCCTACTCCTTGCCACGTACAACCGGGGAATCGAAACCACGCCAGCTGACTCAATGACAGACCTTATGATATCATCAGTGTATACTTACTTTTTATCACTTTCCTGTTGATATGAAAACGATTTTCTTAAAATGTCTTCTGCAAAGTTCTTCATTGCCTGTAAAAATGAACATAAAACTATTTTAATCATTCAATTAGTTTCCATTATATTTTGGAATAGATATCTATAAGTTATTTATATGAGAGCATCATACAACTGTACCATTTTTATTCATACAACTCTGGAGAGGGATACAATAATATACAACAAACTAATGCTTACATTAAACATCATATCTTCACAAACTGAACCAAACACATTTTCTTCTAAATCTACAGGTTTTAATTTTACACCAATCTATAATAAATAAATATATTTATAATTTATCAATATTTACATTATGGAATATATGTATTTAAACTCAAGTTGAACATGTGATTGACAACAATCTTGACTTAAAGAGTCATCCTGGTGTCATCTCCATGGTTACTGTGCTGCTCATTTACGACTCGTTCCAAACCCAATCGAAAGCATATATCGTATATTTCAGCACATTCGGAAGTAAAATCAGCATATTTAACAGAAATAAAATATGAATTCCAATAGATAATTATGAATATAAGAAATGAAAATGAAATGCAATGGGGTTTAACGTTCTACTGTTCTGCTCCTATACTGGGCTAATGAAGACGGGCATGCGCCATACAGTGTGCTATGGGGGAAATTTTGCCTGGGCAGCGGCACTATCGCCTACTCTTATATCGAATTCCAACTGCCAAGGGATCTTTTACATGCATTCCAATGTTTACACGGGACCTCGGTTTTTCGTATCATCCGAAGGACTAGACAGCTGTCCTTGTCAGGCCCTCAGTCCTGCATCACTGACAAGGGGGAACCACGTCGGAAAATCGGGATGAACTTTCTCTGCCAATGCAGGGATCGAATGAATGTAAGAACTGACATTTGACTTTTCCTCATATAATGCCAAAATGGTCATATTCCTTAGAACCTCACACACTGAAGATTACATAATTTTGCTTCACAGATTATTCTATTTAGCACATTAAGTATGTACATGGCCAAATACACAAGGAAAACTAATATACTAAGTCATCCAAGCACGGCGAGCAGTCCATAAAGGCTGTCATCATTTTTCATTTGCATTTAGGTAATGGGAGCATTTACATTAAAAAATTATCAAGGGCAACAACCTCTGATGTAATCATAAGAAATAATTCAGACTTATAGGCTTCTATTTCTACCTAGCTCAAATATAAAATAAACTCCAAAAGTAATTATCCGAATCATTGAAATTGATTCATATCATGAATATAAACACTGTTTATAAATGTCAAGATTTCACAAACAATTGTGGACAATGGACGGAGAGGCATGGATGATGACAATATACAACCATATTATTAAATGTTGTATCTTCGAAAAATTCCAATGTTTGAAAAGAGTTAAAACAATTCAAAGATTTAAAAGATGGCTCGAATGTTTTGTTGATCACAATATCAAATGTGATATAAACATAATTTATCTTGTGTACCTTTTGACATGTATCTTGTATAAATATAGCTTGATCAGAGGGAGGTAGAAACAATGGCTCTTCTCTTGATAAAACTCTCTCTTCTTTTACTTCAACTTTTATTTTTGGTGGAGATTCTGGTAACAATAAAATCATAAAAACATATGATTAAACTGTGACATTATAAAATTAGAATTAAACTCCACAGAATAATCTTTTAACACCCGGACCCTCCAAAACTATTACTCCCTCTAGTACATCAAACAGTCAAATTCATGTAAATAAACTATTCAAGAACTGTATACCAGTGATGGGATTTCAAAATTTTAGTTGTTGGACATTTTCTTCCCGAAAATAAAGGGACATAACTCTTATCGTTATTTAAGCAGGCGTTTTCAAACCACAATTAAGAATCATGTGTCAACAAAATATTCAAATTCATACGTAATAAAAAAAATTAGATGCACCTCGTAATTTTTCATGTTTAATTCCTGTATGGTATTCAAATTTATGTCGATAATATTCCTAAAAAATTACATGACATCGTAATACCACAGAATGAAAGCGTGCCGACTACTGCACATCCGTACCGGTTTCAAATTCCCCCAAAATTACCGTATTTTTGGGTCATAAGTCGATACATTTTTCAGCAAAATCCGGCATTCTTCATACTCCGTTTCGTTTATATATTTATATACGGAAGGTAAAAAAAATGATAAACTGTAGTAAACGTCACTCTAACAGAACGAGCGAGTGACACCAACTGCTAAATAATCCAATTCGACTCTAAGCACGCACTATCGTCTAAAAACAATTACTGTAACTACTTACGTTATTCCAATCGGAATATTCGTCAACATTTCTTAGCGTGTTTATTTATTTATTTAAAAACATAAACCGCATTCAAAATATGATCATAAATCCGACAATATGCCATCAAAATAGAATCTTTTCTGCCGACATCAGACGTATTACATTAGGCACGTTTACACCTCTTTATTCCACGTGTTTCGCGAGATCTCTACTTTCATTTTGCATGTGTGTGAAATAGCTTTAATTAACTTCGGCTTCCACTGAAGAAATATCACAGACAAGTTATCGGACACAATGTATATTGATTTGGGGTGTTATATACCATTAGGATATGTGACATATATGACTAATGTCTACGACCGACATCAAGGAGATTAAAACGTGAGACAATGGAGAAATCACGGGTTAATCACATAGATTAAGTTTATTGGATTGATATATAGTTCGACAAAGAGAAGCAATGACTTCTGTTCAGGATTGAATTGATGAATTGTCCGACAAAGAATTAAGTCAGCCAATCAAGGCAGATTAAGTAGTTAAACAAGGTAGGTGTATAGACGGCATAAAATGATAAATACGTTGATCACTTAATTACCTAATCAATCCAGCCTATTATCAACAATAATCAGGTTGAGTGGTAGTTATACACTCAGTACACTATATTAATTTTGGAATTTTGAATATTATTTACCATGTCTTGATGTCCGATTGGGCATATTCCTGGTCGGACAATTTAGAATGTTTGGAAAATAGCGTCGGACATGTCCGGAATATACGGGCAAAATCCCATCACTGCTGTATACGAGTTCTGTGACTGGAGTGGTTTGGGATGATCTAGAGAGCAATCGTTTTTGGGTGGTTTCGAAAATGGACTACAGAACTCGATGTAATAAAAACATCACAAGGTACTCCATATTTACATCCAGGGTTAAAGAGACTCAACTCTTATGTTCTTGCCAATATGATTTTACATGTCTGTTATCTATATGAGAACTGTATCTATAACAATGATAAAAACATAAGAATGTAACAATTACCTATACTTATTATATCTATATCATCATCACTATTATCTGATGTTGTGATATCTGGAGGTAATTGAATTATGATTTCATTAATATCTGTTAAACTGTTAACAAGATCTGCTTTATGTTCTCTATCAACTGTTTTAACACATATAACTTTCTCTTCTTTTCTTTCTATAAAATACAAACTTCATATAAACAAACATTTGCACACACTTAAATATTACAAAGTAAATTTTTTTTAAAAATATCCACATAATCAGATGCTTTTAACAACCAAATTCTACACGCCTCACATTCTGCACCATCCTTGGTATCACCAGTGGTTTTGTTCTGTTCTACTCCCTTAATCAGAATGTGACGAGACCACTGGGAATGAATATAACATGGAGTATGTAATGGAAACATAATTTGTAAAATGTTATTTCAAATATCAAGATCTTTATTTACAACATGCACCAACAATAAAGATAATTTTGCTTATACTTTGATCAGATATTGTTTACTTATTTGAAACTATCACAATTTTAACACTTTCATACTTATTTTTATAAAGGCAGTATTGTAAAATATTGGGTACCTAAATAATGTGGACTGAATGCATGTAGTCTACACCAAAACATAATCTGTTTAGTTGACCAGAGTTGTTTCCCTTTAAACACATCTCCTTTCAAACTTGAAATTATAAATTTTCTAACACATGATGCTCTTTGCCACTGAAAAGAACAACAGAATTACAATATTAAAGTCTCTGCATCATTGTTATTTGAGGGATTGTTAATTACTTGAAAACTACACTGTTGTGAAAGCTGAATCACTACAAAGAATATCCATCCAAAATGATTCAATTCCGTTAAGTATTTACAAATTTGTTAACATTCGACATCAACTGCAGATGATCACACAGGCGCGGATCAAGGGGAGGGGGGCGCGTACCCGGCGCACTCCTCCCCTATTTTTTGCGGGGGCGAACGATTTGCAGGAAAGGATAAAAATACTTAAAAATGGTAGTGATCAACATTGTAATTTCATCCGAAACGAGCCGATTGGTGACTTGGTTGATTGCACGTCAGTCCGCCCCCTTTCTGAAAATCCTGGATCTGCCCCTGCCACAAGCAGTTGCTGTGCAAGATACGCCCACATTTTGCAAAAGATGGACAGAGAACAAGCTTAAAAAAAGAAAGCGATTTTTCATACAATCATGGGCAATAATCAAGGAAGTTACGGTCCGATATATGTCAATATCTACAAGAACAGAGATCTTTAGGATATAATCATATATTATAAGTTTCAACCTTGGTACTACATACTTTTACACTATTTGCGTACATGGAACAGCCATTTTGTCGGGCAGTTTCATTCCAATTGTTACGAAATTCAAGAGACAAAGAGATAGAAATGGGGTTTAACTAGGTCATTTCGGGACTAACATATGGTTCAAATTCATTTCAGTAATGTGCTTGTGCGTAGGGGTCTTTAGCAGTGGGAGGAAACCGGAGGAATCGGAGAAAACCCACAACATTGAACCGGGGAATCGAAACCATGCAATTTAACTCAATGACAGACCTTATGATACAATGCGATTGCGTTAACCATTTGGCCACACCCCTCCCTCGCCCCCCCACAGGCTAGAAACAAGATTTTTCGTGAACAGGGGACATAATCCAGGAAGTTAGGGTCTGATATGTGCAAATAGCGTAAAAGGAACCGAGATCGAACTGAATCCAGGTCAGGAGATTATCTACCATGGATATTTTGATTTCCCTTTCTTAATTAAATGTTACCTAATAAAATTTTGTACATTTTAGTGGGGATTTATAAGCCATGAAAAATGAGACATTGTCTAAAACAGGTAAATAGTAGTTTAAAGGCCTAACAAGCCACATTATTGGTATTCACATATATATTAAAACATCAAAAATATGTACTATTTTAATGTAAAATCTGTTTGACAGACAATGAGACATACGCTTACATCAGCTAAGTCAACCAAGCAGTCCACAAAAGTTGTTGCAAACTTATTCATTCATTTATATGTAGTGGGATCATTGACAGATTCATGCTTAATAATGATTATTATAGTATATTCTACCTCTGAAGCTCTTCTCTTGCCAATATTCCAACCTAACCAGTGTTCATAAGAATAGGCACAATATGGATGTGTATAACGATCTGAAACATAAAACCATCAAACTTATTCTTCAGGATCAGGTCACTACGGGGGTAAATGAATTCTCACATCACATTTCAGGGCACTACATTAATATCTCATCATGTGTATGATTATCTAGTCTCATTCATGATTGTCAGTATTTATAAGGATCATGTACATTTCAAATTTTGATTCCTGTAATTGTGTGAAAACATTCAAATGAGGTCATTAATGAGATTGTTTGGGGGGGTTTTTGTATTTTTTTTAAAAATAAAAACAGGTCATGCAACCATTTTTAAGTGACACAGTAGTATCTGAGAACCAGATAAATTGTTTTGTAAGGCCTAATCATTGAAATGAAATATATTACTTTAACGGTAACCAAAAATAGAAATAGTCATTCCAATATGATCTTTAGTAATTGAAGCCAACACAAATTAACAAAGAGAAATTTCCACTGAAATAGACAGTGAGGCTGATGACTCAATCTAAAAATAAAAAGATGACATTCATTAATTGATCTTTTTGTAAAGCATCAAGCAATCAAACTGATTAGCTCTACTTAGCCTAAGCAGAAAATGCTTATTAGTCTGCTTAATCTCAGGTGAAAATGCTCATCATCAAAATCGGTCAAGGCTTTCACCTATTGAAGACCTACACCAAGTTAGAGCTGGGTGATATTCCCGGAAACAGATATCGTGATATTTATAACGTGTCAATAATTTCAGATTATCCCCTTTTAAATGTAAATAAACATGTATAAAAGTTGGAAATAGCCCAAGAGTATTCACTTTACACTTTCTAGTCAATATTATTAAAAGTTTTTAGCATAAATACAGTACCGAATTTACAAACAAAATTTAATGAGCTGGTTCAAACGTAGATCTGTTTATTACAATTTTAATTTTCAATATATTAATTATATTTTATTTACAATAAGAATATTTACAAACGAAGGAGACACAAAAAAGTGAAAAACATAAAAAAAAAAGTTTGTATTCTTTCGGCCGTTTTTATAAATTAATTATAGCTATGGGTCTGATTGGATGCTATTCATTTAACCTTGCAAACTCGTGTTTTCTCCTTCAAGCGTATGCCTTCTTGAAAATGCATTTTACAATACAAGAATACTAAATTAAACTATAAAACATAGTACTATTTAGGCAAATAGCGATTTTTCGGATCACGGACTGCCATAACACTTCCGACGCTGAATGATAATCAGTCTACTGGTTCTATATTTCTGCTTTGTTAAAATTTATTACAATCAAAAAATTAATGATTCCTTTGGAAAATCAAAGTATCGGTATAAACAATTCGTCAAGACAAGAAGCATAGAAATTGAACAGACGCGGGATAATTCTTACAGTGTAAAAGTGAGTGAGAAGTCATGTGACATAAACAAAGCTCTTTGAAAGTGTTTGCAAACTTCATAGAATGAACACTCAGGGGTTTAAAACAGTATTTATTTATTATTAAGCAATAAAATATCGTAAATAACATAAAAGGGAAGACATTTTTCAATACCGGTATTTATGTTAAATATCATCTATGATATATTGTGGTATGTTCGGTTTTTCAATATTTTTCTGAAGATGGTATTTTTGATGGTTTTTATTTCTTTGATGGTTTTATAAGGAAAAAAAACGAAATATCGCCCAGCTCTATACCAAGTTTGAATTAGAAACAGAGTTATTGCGTTCCCAAAAGTGTGACAGATAGTGAGACAGGTCATGATAGTTTTAGAAACCTACCTATTCCTTGTTTGACTAGGGGATGTCTTTTAACAGCAGCTTTTATTAATGAAATGATATCATTGTAGTCATCTAATCTGTTAATATAATAATATTAATCATAATTATTATAAAATTGTTCACTTATATACACTAGTATGAAATCTTTAAAGACACTGGAAACTAGGATAAGTGTTGTTTCAATGCCATAGTTTACTAAGGTAGTTTACTTGGATGTACAGAAACATAATTGGAATTTCTTGAAAACTCTTTGCGCACAAGGCAAATACAACTTTACAATCATTTTGTTTTCAACCCCAATTGTATCTTTACTATTTGAGGAGGGGGGAGGGTAAGGAAGAGAGAGAGAGAGGGGAGAGATGGGGTTTAAGGTAGTCTCAACACAAACTAGGTCATTTTGGGACTGACTTACATAATTTCATTTCAATAATTTGATTGTGTGTATAGGGATTCTTTAGCAATAGGAGATAACCGCATGACCCGGAAAAACCCCACAAGGTTAGACAGGCGAATCTAATCCTTATCATGCAGATCGAAATCAGATCACCAATGACAGACCTGATGATCTAAAGCGCACTCATTGGACCATTCTGCTACACAACCCCTATACTATTTTGGAACCAGCTATTGAACTTGATTTCTATATTTCAATTTAACTGGGGTTTTTTTACCCAAAATATCTAACTCACCTAAGGGGGTCTATTATTGTTTCTTCGACCTTTGTTTTCTTTTTCCATACATGAGTTCTTTTTTCTGGTATAGGTTCAAAATCACAATTTAATCTATTCAAGAGCTCCTCCTTTTTCTTTCTTTCATTTAATTGTTGTCTGACAGTGACTGACTTCTGAAGATTGTTGAAATAAACTTTGTTACCAAGATTCTGATTGGTAATTGTTAAATTCGGTTTCACATGATGTGCTGCAGTCTGTGATTGGTTGAGTTGATCTTCTCCCTTCACTTGCAACAAAAAGGTTTTAGATCCAACACTCGCTAGCATAACTGAAGGGGATGGTTTGGACACAGGAGGTTTAGAAACTGTTAATTTTTGATTGGAAACTGACAAAGTCGTATTGCCCAATAATGATTTTTGATTCCTATTTTGTACGAGTGGGACATTTTGTTTACTGTTTGTTGAAGCATTTATCAATCCATCTTTGGTAATTTGTAACTTGGGTGTATTCACAGATAGAGGGTTGCCATGATTCAATAACAGGGAAACTGGTTTAGACGATGAAGAATTAGGTTTGTTTAACGTCAATAACGATTGTGTTTTTAGCGTATTTTGAGGTGTAGTGATGCTATTTACGGTAGAAGTCTGAGGTAGTATTTGTAAACCCTTAGAAGTCACTACTAACTGAACACTAGGTTTTGGAGGTGCAGTAAACACTTTTGGCTTCACTGGATTTATAACTTGAGCTTTTTGTTGAACTAATAAGCTTTTTGTGTCATTATTTTGAGCCCTACTTGGACTGGCAGGCGGGGACCTAATCCTGAAAGATGTCATTTGATTGGCTTTTTGAGCGACTGGCTTATTATTGTTGTTAATGACTGTTTTGGGAACTAAAAGTATATTGCCTTTAGTGTCCTTACACCTTAAATAAATTGTCTGACCCTGAGTTGGTTTGGTGTCGCTAATTGTTGATGGAACTGTTGATTTCTGTATAGGAGTATTTGGCGTTAATTTTATATCAAGTGTAACTGAGTTCTTTTGTTGAGATTCTAGGTTATTGCCATTCACTAATTCTTTCTTAATTTCAGTTCGTTTCATTGGGGAATGCATAATTGTGTGATTTACATCTTGTTTTGAAACAACACCATTTTGTACTGCCAAAATATTATTTTCATTGTCATTTGTTTTTGTTATTTCATCACGAGAGTCACTAAGACAGGTATTTTTGTTGAGATTTGAGATATTTATGTTTAAATCTGTTGAGCAACTTGTGACAGATTTAGGAATACTGACATCAGTTAACTCTTCTCTTTCAAGTTCAACATCAACAACCTATAATATAAAAACAAGTTTGATTACATGTACATGCTATCTGCATGTCAATTAAATCTAAAAATAATTGAATCAGATTATAACCAGACTGAGAAATTATTTAAACCACAAATTAACACAAAAGTAGTATGCTTTATATGTCCATTAGAACACGGGATCCTTTTTATTTGGAAGTGCTTTTCCATATAGTTCGCTTATTCTTTCTGCAAAATCACTGCCAAAAATTTTCTTTCTATAAAAAGCAACTTTACATTTTTTATTTTTCGGAACATTAAGTAAGGTACCACTCTTTATGAGCAGTACAACCATATTCTACATGCCTTATTTCCTGTGCAAAATCTTTTGATGATCAGTCAATAATCAGCTAAACACTGGCAGATGATCAAATCCAAAGAAAGATTCTACTTGCATCTAGGGCAAATAGAGAGAGAGAGAGAGAGAAATGGGGTTTAACGTCCACTCGGCACAAACTAGGTCATTTCAGGACTAACATATGGTTCTATTTTATTTCAATAATTCGCTTGTGCATAGGGGTCTTTAGCGGTGGAAGGAAACCAAAGAAAACCCACGACATAGGACAGGCGACCCTACTCCTTGTCACGTACAACCGTGAAATAGAAACCATGTTAACTGACTCAATGACAGACCTTATGATGCAACGCACATGCGCTAACCATTTGGCCATACCCCACACCACCCGGGCAAAAAGGCCAAAGCACTGAAGTATGTCTCATTTGATTTTTCCCTTACAGTTATATTATCTTTTTACACTACATCAGGTTTGCCTATATAATTCCAATTCTTGGCGATTTGGCATGTAGAATGTGGTCACATTGTACGTACCAATGATAGACCTGTTTTAAACTATAAATCTGACGGTACTTACTGTTTCAGCACCCAATGTTTGTAAACCTGTATATGTTCTATCAAGCTGTGAAATATATAAACAAACAGAGTGAGACAACAGTAGAAATTTATTACAAGTACTAATGCTCTATGGAACCAATTGTTCAAATAAACTTAAAGGGTTTACAAAATTATGGTGAATTCTTGAAACAAAATTAAACTTTGTGCAAGGAAATGTATGTGCACTTAATATCAATACCTTTAAGTGATGTATTACGTCCACTTTTTTATTGCGACTATCTGCAAAGTGGAGTTGTATTCTAATAGGAAATTCTCCCCATCCTCTTCTTGTTAGATGAAATGGTGGTTGACTGAATTATAACAAAGACAAAATCATAATTCTAAATTATGACAAAAAATGAAAACTTTTTGACGATGTACATGTCATAAAACTTCATAATAGTGGACTATGAAAAAATTTAATCATGTTCTTTTTGTAACTTACGACTTCTTCAACTGATTATTATCAATATCAATTGTGTCCTTTATCTAAATGAAATGAAATGAAATGGGAGTTTAACGTCCTACTGTTCTGCTCCTAAACTGGGGTCCTTTATCTAAATATGCCATGCCCATTAACATTGATGGAATGTGTACAATATAAGAAGTCACTATTACTATCTTTATTATCAAATACCAAAATAAAAACAGGCTCTTTCTAGTAAAAAAGTATGTGAACATAGGAAAGAGAACTTTCTATGAGCAAAAAGTTTATTACTAAGATATACCATATCTCCACTAGATCATTAGGCCTGTAACTAGGATGTAAGAAAAACCAAATCTTTTTAACAAAACCATTAATATTTGGTTTATCTTTAGGTCCTCGAACATACACCATCCATTTATGTGTTGACTGATCATTGGTCTCCCTTTTCTCTACTGGTATATATCTAAAACACAGGCGAACAAAATTAATAACAGATCTTGTGGAAACTTGGAAATGTGTATCAAAGCATTGAACTTTAATCTAAATATAACTCATATGAACTGTGAGGAGTTGCCAGCGATATCAAGCTACGTGGAAGCAAACATTAAGCTGGACAACAACAACAGACAGTAAAGGGAAATATATCAATCTCCTCTCACAATGCAGCATTATTTACAAACTGTATCATTCAACTCTCCTATTGTATCTGATATGTTTATGAATTTTCTAAATAATATATGGATCTTTATTATTTTGTTTCATCCCTTGTGTATAGCAACAGATTTGATGACACTTAGGAAGATCAATCCCCAAAACAACGGGGATACAATTTTCATAAATATAAGATTTGATAATGATTCACAAATTTTGTATAGAGCTCTGAACTTACTTTGCTACATTACCAATGATAATTCTCTTCTTGATTTTAAAACGAGAATCTCTCAACTCATGTTCATTGGTTACAGGTTTTGTTGTAGTATTATTTGATGATTTTAATTCAATGGTCTTCTGTAAAATAAATCATCAATTAATGATAAAACTAAAGCAGCAGTGATATGTATATAATCATCAATTAACGCACATATAAAAGTGCATCAATAACAATATCCTTTCTGATATGAAGGAAATTTTGTTTGCCAGGTCTGCAGCGCTGCAGGCTACTCTTATTTCGATGTTCAACTGCCAGGGAATCTTCATCATGCTGCCGCAATGATATACGATCCCAACAATTAGACACTTTTCCTCACCAGACCCTCTGTCCTGAACCACTGACAAGGATAAACCAGTCTGGGTAATCCCAATCAACTGGTTAGTGAGCCAATGCCACATTCATTGAGCAACTGTGGCTCCTAATACAATGAATTACACATCAAACATATATAAATTATTTTTTCAATGACATATTCCTACAAAAATATTTAGAAACAAAGATTTTCCTCCAAGAAATTTCTTATTATATGCTTTATCCACACCCAAGATGAAAGAATTACTGTTATCATTGTAATAAGACCCATAATTTGTACAATTTATTACATTAGTTTATTCCAATCCATTAAAGTCATTAGTGCAATTTGTACTAAATATAACTTACAGGTATATCTTCCATCTTTGATATTAAAGGGGAATCCTGGGGAGCATTTTGTACATCACTAGAAGTTAGAGTGTGACTTGGCTGTGGTGTTGGTGTCCCTTTAACAGTTTTACCTAGATGAGACTTGACAGCAGGATGTATGGAAGACTGTACTGTTGTTGATTTCTACAAATTAAAAACAAATCAATACTGCTACTAGCTCTGTATCTTTAAACAAGTTCTTATCTGTAAAGTAGCTTGCACAATATTTGATAAAAAAAAAAATTCAGACAAGTTAAAATATAATTCTCAAAAAATAAGAAGAATTAAAAGTGAAAGTAAAAATTATAATATAGGTCAAAAGTTAGCCCAATGACAATAGCAATTACAAAGACTTCCTCTTCAACTTGATGTAAATTACATTCTGATTGATATGCTGTTATTTTAATATCTTAACTTACTAAAGAGTATTTCTGTTGGTCAATAGAACCATAGAAGTTCGCAACAATACAAGCTCTTAATCTATCCATCATCAACCTGGCTTGACATAATCTCTGTAAATATATAAAATAAATACAATTACATTTAAAATTTAACTTTCATATAGGCTGTAATATACTGGATGTTGTTGACATCTTTATGAGCCTAACTGACCTACACTATTTGCTTTTTTCCTTTATTGCTGTTTGCCAACAATTTTACAAATAAATGGAATAAATCACATTCTAAATCTGTCTTAAAATTAAATATTTCTATTAAGTAACTGTACATGATACATTATCATCATGAAGTCCTAAATAAGAACATGTGCATATTTAGTAAGGTATATCTGGTAAGCATAGCATTATACAAGTATTGAGGTACTGGAGGCTATAAATACGGTTTGCCAGGCAACAAAACATATGCTCACAAGGGTTTTCGTATGATCAAGAATAACAACCCATTAAGTAATTGTTATAAAAAATAAAACTTTAATTGGTTTCTACTTCTTCCTGATGCTAACATTTATTATACAAGACTTCAATATCTTTTGAGCATAAACACAGTGGTGTAAACCTCAAATCAATCAGATGATACCTTTAACTATATATATATTTTTTTTTTTTAAATTGATCAAGGACTGTAATTCTGGCAGTAATCATCGGAAAACTTTGAAAATCTATAGCTTCTTCATTTCATGAACTTAAACACTGAATAAATTTAAAGACAATCAAATGATAATTTTAACCTCTAGAGCGTGCACAAGCAATTGTGGAGGGACAGGTGGGTATGACAACAATATAAGAGCACATTTCAATGTGAGAAGCTTCCAATAAATAGAAACAGGCAACACCAACCTTTTATAGAAGGCTTTATCAAAATTATACATTTGATACTTAGATAAGTTGATATACAATAATTAACAGAAATATGAGACAGAATAATTAATAATGCAGATAACAAGATGTTTTTTTGATATTGTGTTCTGTTATTGTATCTCACATTTCAATGTGGGTGTATAAGCTACACGTACCTGATCAACCATATTGACTTCATGTTCTTTTTTTTGTAGTTCAATACCAAACTGGGTCTTAACAATACTCTCTATTTTCTTCACAGCTGCCTCTTTGGCTAAATTTATAGGAAAATAGATCAATGATGAATTTCTTTAAGATTAAACCTCATTGGTGATTAAGATATGATATTCCTAAATTCAAATTTCCACACTTTGTGTGCAAGATCTTACATGTATATCTCTCAATCACTTGTTCAGTGGTCAATTTTAATCTCTACATAAATAGATTGGCAATTGATTGCTATTAATATTAATTTATGATTCACTATTATATTTACAACAATCATGAGTATTAGAAATATTGACGATCACATATTTCAGTTGGTAACCTACCATCTTTTTCCAGAACTCTTTGTCTTTTATTTTGTTGATCTGTCACATCTTCATAATCAGGATCAATGTCAATATGCGCTCTTTTACCACTCATTTTGTCTACATTTTAAAAAAAAAATTAAATATCTTTATCAAGTAGGAAATAGATTTTACTTTCTAGTCAAATTCAACACAACAAACTAGTATGTTTTCTTTATTTTACCCAGCATGCAGTACAGCATGGTGCTATCGTGCAGAAGAAGTTTGGATGATATGGACAAAATAAAATTGAATTTATTTGCAATCATCCAAAAAGCTCTGTTCATAAAAAGAATAATCAAATTTTGGAAACAGGTCAACATAAAACGTTAATTTTCTTAAGCCTTGTCGGTGCACGTGGGGTCTCTGTGGACCCCATGCACATGTTTTATTGTGTTTTGCAATAACTACTGGGCACTGCTTTCTGAAATTTAGCGACTTTGTCTCCTATACATTTTTACACGTAGCGAAGAGTTCGGTATCCATCTGCTTCCCACATGCAGAGTTATGTTACATGCAAATCAGGCCCAACGCTTGAAGGGAACAAGGGGTCCAATTGGACCCCTAACTTAATGTGTTTTCTGCCTGATACCATACTGGGTATGCCAGAGTATTCTCTCTTTTAACATCTGCATGTTACAAATACCAAAAATTAAATGATGAATTCCAAATATTCAATGGTTTGTGTATCAAGCGTGAATTGCCATTTAACCTCTTTATCACATAGTACACAAAGTAGCAATTTTGTTAGAATCACTAAATCTTTTCCAAATGTCACTAAAATGTTTTTGTATAATAATTTATTTGTTTTTCAGTTGTCAAATATGAATGCAAATAAAAACTAAACCACTGCCTTTTAATTCAAATATATCTGTACGAAAAAACTTTGAATTATAACTGGGGTCCATATGGACCCCTTGATACCTGCTATGTGATTCTCACAATGTGAACCCACAAGGGTTAAGGGTAAGAAGACATATTTTGTAAGGAAGTATTTAATCATCTAACACTTGTCTTGCAAAGTCATATGACACCTGTTTGGTGCAGCATGCTCTTTAAAGTTAGCTTGCCGCACAGGGAGTTCAACCAGGGTATTTTTGATCTTGCCGGGGTCACAATGTCACATTATATCTGAATCAATAGGCAAGACCTAGTGGACCACCCCAACCATGTGTTGAAAATAATAACGTTACTTTATTTTCATGTGAATCAAATTAATGATTAGAGTCATTTAGAAACAGAGCATAGAGACTACAATCTGGATAAATAATACACTCTACAGAATCTAAACATGGGGAAGACAGCTAGTCTTGCTTGTTTCTGTTTGTTAATACTTAGTCTTAGGCCTAATCATGACTTAATTCAATAATTGACTTGTTCATAATCATATCATATCATATTATAACGCTCGGATTTAGCACTCGCTCGGATTTAGCAATAACACTCGACTTTATTGTTGGACAACACGATAGTATTTAGTTATAAAATTATGTATCCATGCTAACTGTACATTGTAGTGCATGTTATCTTAAAGATTATTTTACGTATTCAATAACAAATCATTTAACACCTACAAATTCTAATCAAGAGTTTCTTCCTATGGGCGCCGCCATTGCTGATAATACAGGCATTTGATTGGTCCAAATAAAATTACCTCCCCTAGCGCACTAATGGGGGACAACTCTTCTAGATTCAAGATTCACGGCGCACCAAACTGTTGGAACCGCTTATCATTTTACTAAGCGCTTATCAATAAAATTGCCGAGTTTTTAAATGCTCATTAGGAACAGTAAGCGATCAATATAATTCCCTACCTTGACAAAGGCTGTATGCAACTAATATCTACTTCCTGGTTTGTTGTATTACACAAAGTCGAATATAAAGATAGAACTTTGTTATTACATTACCCGGGAGAAAAATTCAGCTGAACACAGTTGTTTTTTTTGTTTTTTTTTTGGGGGGGGGGGGGGTTGTTTTAACCTCCGAAATTTCCAAAATTCATAGTTTAAAGTTTTCGTCTTTCGACTAATTTCTGCGAGAAATAATTCTAAATGTAGACTTCACATCATTTTAAAAAACAAAGAAAAATGATAATTAAAAAAAAAGCACAGAATAAATAAACAAACAAAATATGATTTTAACAAAAATACTTTGGTTCCAAAAATCGATCAATTCTTACTTCAAGTTGACATTGGTTTCTTTTGATTTCACGCCGCAATCCGAAAAATAAATTGCTGTCTTGTTCGTACATGAATATTTTTTGTGGATTTTTGTGGTTGTTTTCTTATTTTGTTTTGTATTTTTGTTTTGTTTTTTTTTATTTTGGTGTGTGTGCGTGTGTTTTTTGGTTTTGATTTTTGGGGAATTTGTTGCACACGTTCACACTGATCAGCAGTTAATATTCTGCCGCTTCAAGGCTTTCGCTGTAAAACGAGAAAAAAAAACAAAAACAAAGGTCATTAAAACCTCACAAAATCTTTTATTATGATACCATTTTGTGGACTGTGTATGAATGTAAAGCCACGTGGAAAAAGAAACTTGGTTATCATTTTCGTCCGATCTGCGCTATCAACACAGCCTGATTTTCTATTGACAATTTCTTTTATTTATATTTTATTTCTTCACTTCTATAGGAACACTTCCCATGATTAACCATGGATGGATGTACACCCCAAAAGGATTAACACGTTTTACAACATTATTATGTAATACCCTCATCTAGTTATCAGTTCTGTATGGACTTTGGATATCCCCATTCCTCTTTTATATATACACGTATATCCACTTTTAGGGTTCTCGTTACAATTTCCTTCGGAACGCGGACCGATCACTTTGGAGATTATAATTATGCCGTTTTCGGAGTACTTATACTTGCCAATGCATATTTCAAGACCCCAGAAGGTACAACCAGCATATCCTTTATTGTAAAAAATGTAAACAAGTATATTTGTAGTTGTCAGGCTGCAGAGACCTAGAGTAAATTTAATTGGCAAGAGTGTTTTATCACTAGTAGTCTAGCTCGATTTATGTATAAATTAAGTAAGGACAGAAGAAAATGAATAGAAGTGGGATAATTTTCGTAGCACGCTATCTGGCCATATCTAAAGTACTGCACTGCCTTCAACTTTTATGAACGATTTCAGCCGATTATTACTTTCAATTGGGTTTAGGATTTTAACAAAGTAATAAATTCATTGAGAAGTAGTAATGGTGTTTTTTGTATGTTTATGGCATATATTTCTAACGACTGGTAAATTTGTATAAATATCGGTAAAATTCAATTCAAATTATGGCAACAAATCAAATACGAAGAGGTTAAAGTCTGTAACTATAAGGTGTGTTAATTAACAAGGCTGAGAAATTGATGGAAAGGTGATTTAATTATCACTAGGGGTGAAAATCTCTGCAATGGTGCGTTTTCTGTACTGGGTGTGTTACTTAAAGTAGGGTGACCCATGCACCTACAGAAATACAGTCAACCGCTGATAGTTCGAGACTACCACTGAAGCGTGCACATTCGCCGTGTCGAGTTCAACTTTCTGACAGTATGATACTATAAATAGCCATGGCACGTGCAATTCTCTACAAATCTATCAACTATTACAGCCGTAAAAAATTTATTGTTGACGATTTTGAATAGCAGTAAAATTAAGCTTCTTGGTTATTACAGCAGCTTTAGAAATTACGTTCGTTTCATTTTTTAAATCGCTTTATCATTAACTGTACCGTTAAGAGCGGCATCTTTTGGTTTAGTACAAATAATATCTCTGAAGCACTCGGGTTAGACAGGAACATGATACTAGCAGTAGTTTCATTTTACTTTTTCAAGCTTCTTAAAACAATTGTTTAGCTAGCTAACGTGCTCATTTCTAAATTCAATTTCTTGTTCTAGCTTTCTGTTATGTTTCGTAGAAAAATTGTCTTGATTATCCTGACCTGTCAATCAGCCCTAGAATGGTCGATAGACTGGTTAAGCGAGACTAATTTCAAAACAAGGGCACGTAACCTATCTTTTACTCAAGAGTGTCTGGATGTTATGGACGACACATGGAACCAGTTTTCAGTCTATTATTTATAGATGATTAATGGTCATAGCTTATTAAGTACAACATGATCGTTTATTTAATGACTATAATTGTGTGAAACTGATTTGAGGCTTGGCATATATATAAATATTGTGGCGAAATTGTCTAGATATATGGAGATATTTATTTATGGTGGGTCACCCTACTTAAAGTAGCTAAGTCTCTAACTCAATATCATCCAAAATCTTCAACATTGAAAACACGATTTATTTGTCAAATTAAATCAACATTGATGTTGTGATCTTACCGGAATAAGATGGGCTTTTGATATCCAATATTTAAGACAAAATAAACATTTTACGAATCGTGTACCATAATGCGCTTCAGCCCCAGTTTTAAAAAGAGACTCGAGGGACGAGGCTAGACACATTGCACCAAATCGAACGGCGTATGTAGACTGGAATAACCAGACGCTAGAAATTTGCACTCGATTGAGACTGCTGGCTTATTTCGCCGAACATAACTGATTTGAAATTGGAGTAAAAACGGAAACCATTGAATGTAAATCAGTTTATATACATTCATATTACAGTATTATATGCGTTGCAACCCACTTTTGTCAAATTCTAGGTCCCAAATGTTAGCGATTTAGCTCCTTTAACGGATGGGTTAAAAACGACTGACACGATGTGTATTCTTTGTTTGGCGAGTGTAACCAGCCTGTCTTTGCATGCAAAATACCGACCTGACCCAATGTTTGACACATGTTCATATAGCCGCTTGTCTGAACATCTTGTGATTCCACCAAACGTTTTGCAACAAGGTTGACTTTGCGCGCAAATTACCGACCTCTACGGGTCCGGTGGGTCCAATTTTTATTATGTAAGACTATCGCGGTGCACGCCTTTCTCGCGAGTTAGGTTAGTGATGCTAGCTGCTTCAAGAGGACATATATTATTAATTTATAGTATATGTTATTAATATGCCTTCTTGTATCGGCTAACTTTAACAAATTTTAATATCAGTAATTATTTTTCTATTTTTTAAAAATGAAAGTCTACTTTAAACATGCATTATGCAACAGGTAAATCTTATATAAACTATTTATTAGGCATTTATTAACATGCAAAGACCACAATCAGCTCTCGGTGTCATGTTATCTGTCCGATTTTCATTGGATTTTAATCCAATCTGCTGTTCAACGTCCTATTGATGCTTGAACGCAAAATTGGATAATCGAGACCCTTTTTAATTATCGGGACAGTACTAACAATGACAATTATTTTAAAATACGATTTTAAAGCAATTTGACTGAAATTTTCAGCACATTCCCTTTACATCATCTAGTTTTTAACTATTATAATGAAAACTTCCAGCTCTTTATCTAATCTTCCATAATGTATCTTTAATAAATATAACATAAATCAGTGTAGTGTAGTATATATGGGTTTGTCAGTTATCATATATTTAGTTTTAAGCATCAGTCTCTTTCATCCTGTGTTTGGTCTCAGTTTATTTAGTCATTCAGTTAACAGGGGATTGGGTGGCCGAATGGTTAGCATGTGCGCGCTGAATCATGAGGCATGTCATTGAGTTAACTGGCATGGTTTCGAATCCTCGGTTGTACGTGACGAGGAGTAGGGTTGCCTGTCCAACCACTTGGTTTTCTACGGGTCCCCCGGTTTCCTCCCACTGCTAAAGACCCCAACGTGCAAGCGAATTATTGAAATGTCTGTGTCGAGTGGATGTTAAACCCTTCTCTCTCTCTCTCTCTCTCTCTCTCTCTCGCATTCAGTTAACCCGTTTCTTCAAATAGTCTTCTTCAACTAGACACTCCATATGGCATGTAGTCGTGACTATCTATGTCATCTTCAGTTTCTATCTTTTTATTAAATATCCATTTTGAATGCATCAGTTTGTCTGTCTTTGTTAAAGCACCAAATTCACTAGGTTTATATTTTTTTAACCTGAATTGACAATATTAAATATCACAATTCCTTTCTAATGCAAATACTGTTTTATTCTTATATAAATTACAAATAAGATATATTTTAACATGAATATTGTCTAATTTAGTGTTTCTTTTATCTTTTAGTGTTTCGCATCTTTATTCCTCATAATCATATGTTTTTTTGACAATATATAGTTTCTCTATTTCTTTGTTTCCTAAGAACACCTTTTTCAGGGCGTGTTTCTAATCTATTTCATTATTATATGTAATACGTGTAATAATGTTTTATTGTTACCTGTAATTGTCTAATTTAGTGTTTGTTTTATCTTTTAGTGTTTCGCCTCTTTATTCCTCATATATGATTTTTTTGACAATGTATTTCTTCATTTCCTAAGAGCACCTTTTTCAGGATGTGATTCTAATCTGTTTCATTATTTTATGTAATAGGTGTATAATGTTTTATTGTTACCTGCAATAGGTGTGGTAGTGTTTTTTAGTGTATATTTGTATTTATTGTATATATGGTATTCCCCTTTAAAATGTGTGGGACTGTCTCTTTAATGTTATATCTTTAAGCTGGTCAGAAATCTCTTTTCAATAGCAAGTCTAACCTATACTCACTTTTAACTCACTAAACT